AATATCTAATATGGCCTCGGGCAGCCTCTTCAAAGCCTATTGGTCATGATTTTTGACTAATAAGAATGGAGATTTTCATCATCCATCTCCATTCATCTATATGGATGTCCCAAATTCTCTTTGCTATAAAAACCCTTCTTCAACCCTTTTTCTTATAAGATTTACATAATTTATGCTCTAAACACCAAATAAAAGAACCAAAATAAGTTTTTAAAGGTCACTAATGTCTAACAAAGGTGACTCTAAATATTTAGAAGTTACTATCAATCAAAACCAATCTTAAAAACCACTATCAAAAGAAATTAAAATTATACAAATTCTATATTAATCTTTTTAAAAAACCTCTTTTTAAGGTAATAATCAAATTATATTCTACAACTAACTAAAATCTATTAATATGGCTCTCACCATGTTACTTAATAAATTATATATTAAGTACATAATTACATTATTTTTATATAGTAGCCAAACCACAACATGACAACGCTCGATTTGTCCATTAGTTTGAAGATGGAATACTAAAGATAGTTTTATATCTACTTTTAGAATCTTGAAAGAGTGCACCAAAATCTTGATACAAACTGAGTTTGCCTATCTGATATAATATCTTTGAATAATCCATGATAGCAATAGATATTGTCAAGAAAGAGCTTAGGTATTTTTTCACGTGTGATGGATTTTGAACATGATACAAAATGTATCATCTTGATAAAAATAAGTTTCTATCACAAATATAGAATCATAAGAACCTGAGATTAAAAGATACGTGATGAAATTCATAAAAATAGAAGACCATGGTTGTTCTAGAATAGATAATGGTTGAAGAAGTTTGTAAGGTCAATGATGAGGAATTTTTTTATCTTGAATAAACGTCGCATGACAGAACAAAGTCTTTTATACCCTTCCACATTTGAGGCCGCCAAAAATCTCTAGATATAAGTTCTAAAGTCTTGTTGTATCCAAAATGTCCAACTACTAGAAAGTTGTGACATGCTTAAAAAACATGTAACCTTGCTTCTCTTTTTAGAACATATAATTGATCTAAAATATAAAATAAGTTGTTCTTGAATTCCAACTTAGAAGTATATTGGGACTTAGAAGAAGGATTCTTGATATTGTGACAAGAGAATTAGAAGACATACTTAATTAAATTTGTTTTAGAAGAGTCAAATCAATAGTCGATATGGATGTCATTATTCAAAGGTGAAAAAGCTCTAGCTTCAAGAAAATTACTCTTTGTTGATCCAAAAATGCATCTCTTTCTTTTAGTGTCATGAACATATATTTACTGTATTTGTTATTTAGGTGATATGAATAGGTAGAAATATATAAAAGTACATTAATTTCATAATATCTTTCAGAGAAGCTTCCTAAAAGCTTCATAGACGCTGCTTTGACTTTACATGTGTTTATGCTTAACTAGTAGGTTAGAAACTTGGTCAAGAAGTTAACCCTATGCCATACATGTTGGTAGCTTGTACAAGAAGCTGATTATGTGGCGCTCACATAGAAATCTTGCCTTGCAAGTTAAGATACGTGTTGTACAAAGTCAACACGTTTTTGGAGGTTTTATAGAATGTGACCACGTAGCTCCTAGATAGATAGTATATATAGAGGCAAGAGTGAAGCCTTCTTCACTCTTTTTAATTCCTTTCTTGCTTCTAGTCTAGTTTCAAGGGTCTCTAGTTTTCTTCTCTTTTGCCAATAGCTATTTTAATTCCTTTCTTAATATATATATTTGATTATTTCTATTATTATCATCTTTCTTTGAAAAAAGTCTCACTTATTTATTTATTTTTATCAAGTTCTTGTCCTTGACATGATGTCTTCAATTTCTTATAATTCCTTCATATAAACTCTAAATATAAAAATTCCTTTATAAAAGAGATAGATCTTAAAATTACTCTTGTATCTATATCTCTCAATTTCTAAAAGTTGTTATACAATTCTTCATGTCTTTAAAAGAATAATAGTATGTCTTAAAAGATCTTTTGACTTCAAATGGCTATAACTTCTTTATTCTAACTCTAAATCCTCTAAAGTTTTTGCAAAAATTGTAATCTAAATTCTAAACCTTATAACTTCTACTTTTGATTCTTAAATTTTCCTTTTGAAGTCATCAAAATCCTTATTATGGTTGAAAACAACATGTTGAAAGTGTATTGATTATAATCTTTGACTAATAGGAATAAAGACCTTCATTCCTTACCTTCAATCGTCCATATCTTGCTTTCATTCCTTCAAATAAGCTTCTTAATAGTTTGAATCTTCATCTATGATCTTTAAATTAACCTATTAACTATTCTAATATATATCAAGACTTATAAATATATTATATATTTTAATTAATTTTTTATATATTATAAACAATTACAATACAACAATGTATAAATCAAGTTTTGGAGTAGTATTCGAAGTATATTATCAACTACTAACAAGATGATTAGACAACTTTTTTATTGTTGGTAGAGTTTGCTTATAATAACATGATACATTTTCCTCTACAATAAATTTTTTTTCTTTTTAGTTATAGTTATCATCCACAATTTCATGCTTTTGAATTTTTAAAAGTTGATAATCTGTGACAAAAGATTTAGTAAATTTTTGATCTAAGTTACATACAATAATGAAGGTAAAACTAAAATAAGCTTAAGAACAACAAATGATTAATGCAAATGCCCTATTACAAGGAACAACCTCAATTCTATATTGGTAATAACATATGATTATTTTATCATAATATCAAGATTAGTCTCTCTTGTAACAAATTGAATTATCATAAATTTGAATTATTTTTTATTTCTTTAAAAATTTATCAAATTACTTATTGATTACATCTATTAAAGTCTATAAAGATCCATATCATATTCTACATATCTTACTTTCAGTCATATAAGACAATAAATATTTTAGAAAAAAGACAAATGCTACTTCCTCTTATAGAAGTGGATAATAATCAAGAATTTGAGGTAAAAGAAATCTTATTCTTAAGATGGCGCCGAAATAAGTTGGAATATCTTATTCATTAGTACAGATATGATACTAGTGAATTTACTTAGGAGTCAACTAAGAATCTTATAAATGTAAAAAAAATTGATGCTTTTCATCAATGTTATTTATAAAAATAAAGATGATAAATACTAAATCTTTGCTATAAAAGATATCTAATTCAAGAAAGATTATATTTTATATTCTATCGTTGTTTGTAATTTTGATGTAATTATAGTGCTAAAGATACAAAGAACCAACAACTAGCATATTCAACTTAAGTGCTAACATTTGCTGATTTAGCTAATGAATATGTCGGTTGTTGGTTTTCCTTATTTAGAAGTTATAAAGGTCTCAAAAACAATCAAATAGCATGGTGGTCTTTCTACCTTGAAATGAAACATTATTGACGGTTGAGAGGATCTACCATCTACCTTTGAAGGGAACAAAGATCAAAATATATAGTAAATACAATTTTCCATATTTTAGAATTTTTAAATATATAATGACCACTCTTTATGAAACTTATTTCTAAAAAAGAAAATAATATAAAAAATATATATATTTACTTAGATAAAAAGTGCTAGGTAGAAGTAAATGTAGATAGATTTAATACTATCTTATTACAAAGCTTCATAAACAAATATTTGATTTTATACGTATTTATAATTAATTGATAGGTTAGGAACTTAGCCAAAAAATTAGCCATGTATCTCACATGTAGATAGCTTGTAGTGAAAGTTAACAATGTGGTATACATGTAGGAAACTTACCTTTTAAGTTAAGACATGTGTCTTGTAAATTAAATATGTATTGGAGATCCTATAGGATGTAGCCACATGGTTCCTAGTAGATAGTATATATAGAGGCAAGAGTGAAACCTTCTTCACTCTAATCAATATCTTTTTAAAGCTTACTTTTGATTCAAGAATTTTTAATCTACTTATCATTGGCAGCAACCATTATAGTTTTCATACTATATTAATTTTGAGTGAATATCTATTCTTATGAATATACACAAGGATATATTGAGTTTTTTGATCCTCAAGATTCATGTCTTAGATAGCTATCTAGAAGACAAAAAAATAACATAATAGAATTAAAAATATGCAAAAAAAAATTATTAAATTTTTTAAAATGAACTTTTTTTGATAACTAATATATTACTTACTTTATTTGCCTTCAATATATAGCAAGATATGCCAACATCATGCACAACATGAATTAACTTTGCAATAAATAACAATTGATAACTATATAGCAAATTGCTATTACTTGGAAACTATAAAAGAAAAAAACTTTTACTTCCATGAATTATATTATGTCTATTATTTGCAAAGTTTCCATTCAATTTATAACAAATGCATATTTTGATTTAAAAAATAGCAATTTTAGTGATTACTAGTAAAAAAAACTTATAAAATTATAAAAGAACATCACAATAAAGCTCAAAAATCCACGTATTTGCACAAAGATAGATGAATGTTGTTGTCTCAAAATATACTTGATTGAATATAATCAAGAACCCCTATCTTCAAAATGATAAAGACAAAAATATTAAAATCAATTCAGTTTAACTCAAAATTCATTTAAATTAATAAATTAAATATTCAGATAATAAAAAATCATATTTTTCATATGCAATAAAAAAATAAAAATAATACTGTTGTTTAAAAAAAATCACAAAAATCATATATATATATATATATATATACATGATTATATTACATCAGGGGCTGTAAATCATAGGTTGAAACAAACCACATTAAATATACCCAATTTACTTCCTAAACAAACATACATTGGTGACAACAAAAGCACCGCAAGCAGTCGACAATTCAAGTCGAGGCAGAGAATTGAGGCATGAGCAAACTCGATTGGCAGCGCCCTTTCCATGCGTAGATTATCATTTGACGTGCGACGGAGAAGGTGCAAGAGGGGGATCATCCATTCGGGGCCACGGAGATGGGCGCTGCGCTGCGGAGCGGGGCTTAGGGTTTAGAGTCGCACAGCGGACACATGGTCCCTCTCTTTCGCCTCGTTAGTTCGCTGCAGCGAGTCTCTGCTCACTGAGCCTCGCCTCGCCTCGCCTCGCCTGTGCTCTCCCCTTTCCCTCCCCTCTGCCCCGCCACCATCATGCCTGGCATGGCGACCGCCAAGAAAGTGGCGCCCGTCAAGGGGAAGAAGAAGGCCCAGACCTTCACCATCGACTGCGGCAAGCCCGTGGAGGACAAGATCATGGACATCGCCTCCTTCGAGAAGTTCCTCAACGACCGCATCAAGGTCGATGGCAAGGCCGGCGTGCTCGGCAGCGCTGTGTCCATCTCCCGCGAGAAGAACAAGATCAGCGTCACCTCCGAGAGCTCTTTTTCCAAGAGGTGCGTCCGTTTCATCCCCTCGCTCCTTTTTTCGCCTCCACTTGCCTCATGCATCCGCATTGTTATGTTGGATCTTTGGGGACGCAGAGACTTGCGCACACGGATGAACTCGGAGACCAGGTCGTCGAGAGCAATTTAAGCTGGGATTTGCGCTAGTGCGTCTAGCCTACAGTCAGTTAGGGTTCGATCGCCTACCAGAGATGAATAGCGGATGGGCAGGGGGGGGGGGGGTGTGGATAGAATGTAGGACGGAGAGGAGGCGCCGCGCAGTTGTGAGCGGGGCAGTTGTGCCCTTCTTTAGCAATTGGCAGGAGTGATGGCAAATGATGAGAGCGTTGACTTGCAGCAGTGACAGTTTGGGCTTGTTGGGTTTCACGGTAGTACGGTACGACTTGGGTCAGAGCCAGGGCATTGGAGCCCGTCATGTATGAATTTCATGGCTCCGGTCGGACTGTGAGAAGTGTGGAGCGTGGGGATGCTAGAGGGGCTTCACCATGCAACCGTTACGCGTGCAAGGGAGTTTCGTGTTTCTGATGGTGGGTGAATTGCGTGCGTGGATGAGTGCAGGTACTTGAAGTACTTGACGAAGAAGTACTTGAAGAAGCACAACGTGAGGGATTGGCTGCGAGTGATTGCATCGAACAAGGACAGGAATGTGTACGAGTTGCGGTACTTCAACATTGCGGACCAGGATGCGGAGGAGGAGGACTGAGGCACGAGCGTTGGGCGAGCTGCGGGTTGTGAGAAAATGTAGAAGCGGGGGCTCTGTGCCGCGTTTTCATGTTGCCGGAATGTACCACGTTGAATGCGAATTACGTCTGATCACGCTGAAGTTGCCACCGAATTGTATATGTTTGTGACTAGAACCGGGTTGTGTGAGCATGGGTGGAGTGCTGAAGGGCGTTCTGTGTTTGGTCGTTGATGCGGAGATTGCACATTAGTGTCACGTTTGTCATGCCAGCGCAGTGAGGTTTCTGACGGATACATGATGTTTTAGTTCGGACCCGCGCTGAGTTGTTTCTGTCGTACCTCTGTCCCGGTAGAATTTGCAGCGTACTTGGATCGATTTGATGGCTGGATTTCGACGTGAGAGCTGTCTGGGTCTCAGGGTACAAGATGTTGTTGTTGTTTGTGCGCGGTGAGAGCATTGCATGTAGGGTGGAACGGGCACATAGATTGAGCAGATCCTGGAGGGGATCTTGGCTTGCTACAGCTGTGGTGCTTAGGTTGAGAGTCATCTTCCAGGTTCCAAGTACGCATTGGTTTGGTTTTGTGGGGCGGGTGAAAAGTGAGGCTCTGGATGACGTTCAATCTGCTGAGACCTCATGCAAATATTGAAGCGGCTGAGCTTGGAAGGCACTTTGTGCTGAACCACAGTTTTTCATTGCTTCAAGTTGCATGTTGATGCAAACCACCTTGTGTGCTATAGGTTGTTTTGCCTCTACTGGAAACGGCCTGGTGTAGGCTTGGATTTCTTGGAAGTTGATCTGGACATGGGTAAGCCTGTTGACAACGTGATTGGCACTGCCGTGCTTTCATGTGACGGACGCGCATGAGCCTACGCAGTGCCTCATGTGGTTCCCCGTGTGGCCTAGAAACGCCCCACGATCACAGGCAACGATGCGGATGTGATACCTGAATCCAGCGTGAAAACACCCAGCGACTGTATATGATGTAATCATGAGTGAATCGTTGCGCTAATGTGGACAGAACCTCGTTCGGTTCCAGTGGGTCGAAAGCAAGTTTCGCGATTGTGCAATGCTACATGTCACAGTGTTGACACGTTTCTGCTGAGCAGACAATGTGTGGATTTTGGGCTTGTTTCGACTTTACTCGTCAATCACAAGGGTTTAGAAGTGGGTTTCAGGAGCGATGAAGGGCTGTTTGATGTATTTTGTGTTGTTCTGTTCTTCCTTCGTTCCTGTTACGTTTGAATAGTGTTATCTTGTCGGGCTTGAATCATACAGTTAGCTTGTTCTGCGCCGTATTTGAAAGAACTCGCGTTTTTCAAGAAGTTTATACGAAACGAATGGAGCATTAGGAGCATGGTGCAGGGGCTTTTGAATGTTATCTTGAGCTTGGTTGAGTGGTGCATGCAAAACAAATATTGAAAGTGCGGTTATCTTTGCAATGTGGATGATTGTCAGAAAGAATTGTGTAACAGCATTGATGTATGGTGCAATACAAATGTGCTGTGGGTTTTGATTGTTGATTTAATTATTTTTGACCAAATGTCTAAGTTGCACCATGTGAAGGAAGTTCAGCTTAAGCCCTTAAAGAACACAATACCTTTAGCATTTACATAGTGAACTATAAAGAACAGCGATCGAAGGTTGAGATGGTTTACTGGCATGTGGACTAGATCTTGAGTCGATCGTTTGTAAATTCCAATTCCAATTAAGATTATGTAACTCAAACCAAGAAAGACCTATTCCCACAAGATTTGAAGGACATTTAATGATATTGAAGAAATTTTGGGTACTACATCTTGTAATACCCCTGTTTAGTGGTGTGGTTTCTTCAATAACATTCTCAAATGCAAATGTTTCGTCCAGCAATAACTTTTGTTGGAGGGAGTTGGTTCTGTTTTGATATTATTAGATTTTATTATTATGTAGAGTCTTGATCTCTGAAACTTGTTGAGGCTCTAATGTCAGCATTTCAAGTGAAATTTGTAAACTTGAAGTTATAACAAGTTAAAGAAATTTAAAACAAGGTGTGGAATTTGGTAGTAGCATGTAATCTATACTTGATGGTTTTGGTATTGAGTTGTATAATTGCAAGGTTCCTAGGTCAATTAGATGTCTTTGTTTCTAACCTTTTCACATTTTTAAATCTATTTGATTTGATGCAATAATTTTATATTTGATGACTTATTTTTTTATAATGTAATTACAAGTTATAATAGTTGGAGTTGTCTATTTCTTTTTGTTTTAATTATTTGAATTAAATTATATGAATTTGCATAAGTCTTGTCATTAATTATTATATTCATGAAAATTTAGGAGTTATTGTCATCATTTGATTTGTCCTTCTCTAATCAAGTCTTTGCTCTTGGCACTTTTAAAAAATTTAATTGTTGCATGTAATTGTTTGAATTATGAATTGTTCTAATGTATTAGCTTTTGATACAATCAGTAATAGATCTTTGACATTGTCTTTTAAACCATATTACATTAGATTAATAAGAGCCTTATGATTTCAAACTTTGTCACAAGTAAGAGGTTAAAGTTTGACAACATTGATAACAATTAAAATGGATTCTTGTGTCAAAGATTGGAGTTTTGTTTTGCTACATTTTTTTAATTGTAATATCTAAAAGTAATTGTTAGCTCTTATAAAAAATTGGTTTATATCTCACAAAAGTTATGAATCATTTCTTATTAATGATACAAATTAATAAAGATTACTTTTAATTAAAATTGTGCCTATTAATCTTATTTAAATCATTCCATTAAAATAACAAGAAGTATGTAATCTTAAAAAGTTCTTAACTTGTTATAGAAATCCTTGAAACTTTTATCTTGTACAATCAAAGTTCTTTGGTATAGTAATCTTTGACTCATATATAATTATAGTAGTAAGTTTTTATGGATGTGCTTGTAAATTTGATATACTTATTCTTACTCCTCTTAGTTATACATCTTCTTGGTATAAACGTTGAGCCTTATTATTGATTATTTACTTAGGTAGAGGAATAGTGCTTCTATGATTTAGAATTCTAAGTCATAATTTTTTTTTTTAGAAAGTTATAAAATGCTTATAAAGATATATAATAGTTACAAATCTAATTTTACTTCTATTAAGATTAACATTTATAGTTTTTATTTTTTATGTCTTTGTAATAAATAATAACAACAAATATACAAGCCAAACAAAAAAGATGGTTATCTACAATTGCTAATACCAAATGAGAAAAATTGACAATGATGAATTGTCCATTTTTTTGTAAGAAAATAAATAATTTAAAATGAAAAAAATGTCAGTTTAAGGTGGACAATTTGCAATTGTTCAAAAATTCAATAACGTATTTGAAAGAATTGTGTAATCTATCCACTTTTCAAACAAATGGAGAAAGTAATGAAAGAAGAGACAACTATAAGATAGAAATGTAGATGAAGTGGTTTTGCCAATTACAAAGAGATTCTTAAAATCTTAAACTAAACCTAAAAATATCAAAAAGATACTAATAAGATTAAAGATGGTCTTATTCTTGCATCTATTTTTAATAGCTATAATAAAGGTTATGTTGTGGCTTGTCTAGAATTGCTATGCTTATGGAATATATGCAATAATGCAATTATTAGATTGATTTTTAATTGTAACATTTTTGTTTTCAAACATTCATTCAAACTTTTTGTTGTTGTTTGGTTCAAAACTTATGCTTTCAAAGCAGATATTATCATTGGCTTTTTTGTTTGTATTTTATTCTCTTTCTATGAAAGTTTTCATGGTTACATAATTGGCATTTTAATCAAAACTTTATAATAGAAATTTCATTTGTAAAGAAACATGTTTATACAATATGTTTCTTTTGAAAATTTTGACTAATATGATACATTGTTATATTGAATTGATAGTTTGAAATTCATTTTTTTTTTAGATAGTCGAGAAGTTAAAACGTCGAGTTATTAGTATTTTTCATAGTTTTTGTGAAGAATTATTTAATTACTTATAGATAATAGATTCATTTTTCTTCATTTTTTTTTTCTCTAGGGATTGAGTAGTTTACTTTATGCATTGTATGATTAGTTAAATTACTGAATCATTCAAAGTTTTTGCAGATGTTGTTACTAATTGAACTTTTAATGTGTGGTGATTGGAGAAGGTTGAGATAAGTTTATCAGTATTGACAAAGTGGGTGTTTTATTTATTTATTTATTTATTTATTTACTTATTTTTATGTATTAAGATATGCTGTATGCAATCTGTATGGAATTTGATTGAACATACAAGAGGTTAACTATAATGACATTAAATGGTAACTAATGACGTATATGTACATTAATATCACTCTCATTCAATACCAGTTTTTGCAAATCTGTAACTTGCATTTGAAGTAATCTGAAAGTTCAGCAATTTTAATCGGCTTAGTTTTTTCTTCTTTATGTATGGTTAGGTTGTTTTTTTTCTTTGCGTGTATTGGAGTATCCATGCTTAATGCTATGATGTATCGTCGTACATGATGTTAGGTCAGTTGTGAGTGTTCTCTTTATAACTTGAAGTTTGCTTTCTCAGCTTAGATTGTAAGATGTAGACCAGGGGATTTAACAAATTTGATTAATATTAATATTTATTTATTTTGGTTTTAATCATTTTATTAGGCTTGAAATCAACAAGTCTTTACACTGCACATTCTTTTAATTATTTTTTTACCTTTTTACATTTTTTCACATTTTGTTTTTGGAAATTTCATGCAATGTCTAATTGCATATCAATGATTTTTCTGCAAAAGTAATATTCAATATATATATATATATATATATATATATATATTTTCTAATCACGTTATGGTTGTGGAGAAATCAAAAATATTAGGTGCTTCATGGGTTTGTGAATATACTTTGAAAATAGATAAGGAAGGGGTGTTGGGTTGCAAGGTGAGTTGTTGCAACCAAAGATTGTATCACAAGCGGACGGATGAAATTACGGCAACGATGTTCATCTTGTGGTTGGATGAATACATGACAATGTTCTACTGGTCAGAATGGTGTATATGGATGAATACAGTATACGACTCGAACTTGGAGTTCGAATAGGTATAAATTGATGGCGGGTCAAAGGAACCAACAAGGAGAACGAGATAGGAACTTGGGACCCGGAGATGAGAACTTCGGAGACGAAGCTGGGGGTCGACCTCACTATACGAGTCCCAAACCCTAACTTAGCTCTTCCTTTTCGAGTCGTTGGACGACGGCTCTGGCTGTGCGCGTGCGCCATAGCCTAACGTCGATCCTGGCTAACTTCTTGTTGCCTCCCCCTGGCCTGTCTGTGAGGCTCTGATCTCTTCTAACTTGGATTTTCTGATTCTCCGGACGTCCCCCTCGTGCCGTGTTTTAGTCATTCCTATCAACTGTGCCATCGCCATGGCCACCACCGAGGGTCCTCTGTTGTTCCAAGGCGTATCCAAGGAATCCAAAGCTTTCCGTCTCATGACTCAGATGGTGAATTCCCCATCCCAATTGATTTTTCTTAACATGTTATGGAGATGTTCTCTCGCATTGAGATTGACATCCGGTATATTGTGCCAAAGGGATGGGAGGAAGGGCGTGGACTTGGAAAGGATCAACAGGGAATTACGTCACACATCCGTGTCAAGACCAGGAAGGACAACGCAGGTTCATTTTCGCGCTCTTCTGAAATCATTCTTGAGCAGTGTATGGTTTGTACTTGTTCAATGAAACGGTCTGTGGTCATCGCTGTTGTCATCATTAACCATTCTGAGAGTATTAGTTCTTCCCAAATTCATGACCTTGACTTCCAAGTCATGTGCAGCTATTTGAAACTAAATTTACCTTCGCCCTTGGGACTTGTCTTGATTTATAGAACACCGTAATTGAGGAAATAGTTGTTTTTGGTTCTGGGTCATGGTTTTTGGTCGGAATGTTTGCTGGCAGTGGTTACCCAGCAACATTTTAGCTGCCGATTTGTGGTTTCAGATAATGTCGTGGCCGTGTGAGTTTTCAGACGCTTGTTGAGTAAGGTCGACTTAGGAAGTCTCACATTGCGTAGTGTTGAATATTCCCTGCCCCATCCCGGAACATGTGGATTGTACGCTTTTTTGGCTGCTGCCTCCTCCGTCATCTGCATTCAATATCTGGCCGCTCAGATCTTTAGGGATTAAGCGTATCTGTATCGAATTCTGTCAATTCAAACAGAATTTTTTCAACTGGCTGCGTCTTTTGTTGAGAAAGTAACTTAATCGAGTCGTATAAATGCAGGTGTCGGCACTGACGAACAAAAGAAAGCAGCACAAAACTGGACCGTCAACACACACATTTTTGATAACATCCTGAAGAACCTCAAAGTGGTGAGGTTTCTTGTCTTTTTTTCTTTTTTCTTATTCTTTTATTTATTTATACATTTGTTCGTTTTACGTGTGTGTGTGTGTCGCTCAGTTTGTGTCACTGCACTAATTGGGATTAAGTGTTGCTTTTGGGGACTGATTGTTGAAGAGTCTCCCTCGTAGAGTCTGTTTTTTACTTCGTAGGTTACTACCTCAGTGTTGGGTAAACGACTTTAGCTGAATCTCCGATGTTGGATGTGGTATGATGTAGCAAGGTGCTCAACCTCAGGTCAAAAAAGGTATGTTCTTGTGTAGCTTGAGGACTGTAGTAGATGTTGCTGATGACATGTTTTTCGACTTCATTTTGCCTGTCATTGCTCTGAACTGGTATGTGTTAGAAATATGGCAGCTGTCTTTTTAATTTTCACGACCTTTTTTTGCATTTATGTCTCGATTTGTTCAAATAGTGATATGGATTTTAAAAGGGCTACACTCCTTGTTCTGCAGACAGTAGTGATGATGACAGTAGTGACGATGACTCTGTTGAAGCTATTCCGGTAATTAAAAAAGTCGCTCGACCACAGGGAAGGTGTGTTCTTGAAAATACTTTCTTTCGTTTCAATCTCAATAACAACAACAACAGTAATAAGAGTACTAATAGTATTAGCAACAGCAGCAGAAGCAGGAATATTTGCAATTTGTGAGAATTCTGCTGTTTATAATGTTCAAATATTAACTTAAATTACGCTTGGAAGTCGTGATGTTGAGTTTAGAATTCGTGAGGTCCTGTGCAGTTGCTATTTGTCTAATGTAAAAGTACTATGACATTTTTTGAGTGATCTTGGATTGTTGCAGTAGTGGCAGCAGTGTACTTCTAAATTTGTCTGATCATGCAAACTTTGGATTAGAACCAAGTTTCACTTACAGATTATAACATATAGCTATTTCATTGTAATCATTGATATAAAAACAACATATAAAAAATGGGTTTTGGTGCACTTGATGTAGAAAATGAATTCGTGACTCAATTTTTCTCCTCTAGTGCGAGGTTCACTAATCTAACTACGATTAGTTGTTTTAAAGAATGGATTATATTATATTGAAGCATTTTGAATTTATTGTAGGTACAAGAGGAGAGAAGGGGGCAAATTGGTGAAAGGTTATTCTGCCACGGATCTCAGTGCCATTCTTGTAAGGACTGTAGTTTCTATGTTTTTCCTTTAAATGTGTCCTAGTCTTGTTTCGAAGTGCGATTTCAGTTCCATCTTTTGAGGAATGAATCCTTTTGACTATCATTTTGTATGACAGTGGTGTTTGAGGGTTTATCAATCTTTATGCAGTATTCTCTACGCATTATTGAGAGCTTAATGCCTGTACTTGTTATAAAAATATCTTCTTAGGCTCTCAGTGCCTCACAGTATATTCAGCAATGAGTACTTATTCGTTTTGATCTGTTTGAAGGGAGGACAAGATGTTCAGCCCGCTGCTGTACAGTCTCCGAAACTAGTCGTTCCCGTAGGTAAGAGTTGCTGTTATTTCTGTCGTAATCTTACGAAGTTTCATTGTATAATGTTATATCTTTCAAAATCTGATTTCAAACTTGAACCACTGTATTGAGTCACCGTATCACCTTTACAACTGTTATAGCAATTCAATCACTTCCTTCTTGCTTATATTTTGTGTTTTTCTAACTTGCTTACAGTGGCTGCAGCTGTGAGTAAGGTTGTGGAAAGCAAGGAGCAAGTTTCATTTGTTGAAATAGAAGTGGAGGAGAGTATTTCTTTACCGGATATAGCGGCAGACTGGTGGGGCACTAAATATGGATTCGTGAGAGCTGGAGCGCTTGGTTCGAAGCAAGTGCAAGTTCGGGAAACCGTAAACGGAGAAAGACCAAGCCAGAACGGCCGAACTCAGTTCTCTGAGCAAGACCAGGAGAACCTGTATAACCTTGTAAACGTACGTTGCTATTATCCCATGTTGTTATGATGGGTGGTGGGGCGTAGATCTAGGGCAAGCTGTATTCTCTTATTGCATTGCAAGGATTTTTCTTGTTTGGGGTTGACTCCGATGCTGCAATTCAGAAATTAATGGATGTTCCCTTAACATGGATCTTTGCCAGTGCTTCAGTTTTCTCGGATATACTTTTTCCCTCGTACTCAAGAGCGACTTAAATTGTGGACGTTGGTGTTTTGTGTACAATATTTTAAAGTTCTTGTGTGATTTGCTGCAGGATAAGGCAACAACAGGGAAGAAGGGACTTGGTCAAGCTGACAGGGCATTGAAGATCGGTGGGGTTAAGGTTTCAACGCGTCCTGGACAGAAGAAGGTTTTTGCTGACATTGAAGAGAGCGAGAATGAGGAAGCACAGGATTCAGTTGTAAGTGAGGGTCAACAAATTGAGTCGGCTGCTGCAAACAAACTTGAGAAGAAGAGGAAAAGGGATGAGTCTTTGGGTAACGAAGCTGCCTTAAAGGAGGGGTCCAAAATCAAGCTGAAATCGCTAGTTTCTCAGTTGCTAGCGGAGGTGAAATTTCCGTCTGACAGAATTTATTTACCAGACTATTTTTCTTTTTTTCTTTTCAGGGATTCCGTTTCGCGTTACCTTCCTTTGAATGAATGACTGTTCTCATCCGTTTTTTTTATCGTTACACCTTTGACAATTTCGAGTTTTCCTCAACAAACAGGTTTCTGAGAGGAAAATGAGCTTGAAACGGCTACAGAAAAGAGTTACGGCTTCTACTGGTCTATTTCCAAGTAAAAGCGATGCAGATGCTTTCAAGGATAAGGTATTGATTCTTTATTTATTTATTTTTCTTTTAACTGACTGTGAATCACACGGCATTTATGTTTAGTGTGATTTTTTCGGGCAACAGTTGCGTCTCAAATTTTTCTGAACTGAGTCCTTCGCATAGCCAGGCTAGTGTAATTTCCAAGCGCTGATTTTCGCTAGAAAATAAAGCTGAAGTTTCACTTGTCAATTTTGTGTGCGGAATTGTTGAAGCGAAACTCATTACGCTCGTCTCCAAACATCTAAAAGGGCAATGTGGATCTGTTGCCTTTTGTGTATTAAATGACCATAAGTTTTCAAGTGAATAGAGGAAAGAGTGATTCTAAAACATATCACAATATAGTTCGTTGCATTTCCTTCATCTTCTATTAGTAATGATCTTGTGCCTGTTGCAGCTGCTCAAGAGTTCGAGGTTTGTTGTGGAGGGGAAGAACGTGTCGCTCAAATGTAAAACTTAGACAATTCGTCAGGCCTCTCCTGTTCTTTTGAAATCGTTCGAAAGAGGCATTTGCAAGAATATTCCTTACTGGTTTGTTACTGGTCAGTTCCTACTTCTGGGCTAAAAGCTCTTCAAGGAAAACTCTGATTGTTTGTGCTTATTTGAACCTTATTTTAGATTCATTAGGGCACGTCATGAGCGGCCTTTATTCCATTCTGGGTTGATTGCTCCCTTTTGTTAGTAATCACATGGGGGTTAGAATAAAACCAGCAAGCCAACTCGCTACCATTAACATGGAAATCATTTTTGTAATCACCGGCTACTTGAAATGAAGCGTTCTGCTTAACCAGAAATGAGTTTCTGCTAATTGCAAGGATGGTGTGTCGTAGTTGCGAGTATACGCTTTTATCAAGTTTTCGTAGAACTGCATCATCTGTGATGCGTATCTGGCAGGTATCTTGTGGACTCAGATTATATTTAGACTTGACTTGAAGTGCAGTCTGCCGTGATGGATTAATAGTTTTGTGATTTATCTTCCACTATGAGCAGTGATGTACGACTCTGAAATTGTGCATGAAAATATGGTCGTCATTTTACATGTCAATAGGCCAATTGAATCCTTACTTTTAATGTCACTAAAACTCTTTTTCGAACTCATATTTCGATCACAATTTTGTTTATATTCATATCACTACTTCCAGCAATGAGTTTAAACAATCAATTTTAAAAGAAGAAATCAAGTAATTGAACATTTATATTAAATGTCACATTTTTCACTGTTTTCACTGTACTATTTGAAAAAAGCATGTGGCATTATTTTCATTCCTAATTTTATAATTGCGCTTCTTTCTATTTTGAATCTAGTTTTAGTTTCCACAGTTATGCCCTGCCTTCTGGCAGCAGATTTTATGACGAGCAATATTAGTTTTTACCTGGAAGAAATCAGAAAGATGTTTAATATGCATCTTATGCATATTACATCTATCATTCCAAATTCATTGGTTCTTTACTCCGTTGATAACAATCTAGTTGATTGTCTGCTGATACCCAACTTGTAATTGAATTGTGATTTTATCTTAGTTTTATTTGTTTATTTCATTTGATGCCACAATTAAGTAGTTTGCAAATCTTGTTTTACAATCTATTTTATCTAATAGATTGTAAATGAATGTGGTGATTTTTAATTGCAATTTATTAACAATGTTTTTCAGGAATAGCATTGATAAATGTAAATTTTTTATTTTGATGTATTATCAACTTAAATAAAATCCTCCATCATACATTTGTTATCATAAGACTCACTGTTAATATAATATTTTAAATATCAATGCTATGTAAATTAAGTCTTTTATTTATCTTTATCATGTTTTAAAATGATAAATATTTCTTTTCATAATTAAAAAATGTATATCAATATAATATATTATGTTAATCTTTGTATCTAAAGTTATTAAGGACAAAATGCAACCAAATGCCATCTATAAGTGATCATCCATAGAGTAATGCCTATTTATAGATATAAGCTTGGAGTTTATTCTCCCAAAGCTTTGTTAAGCATCAACTATCAATCCTTGTTTTTATTTGTCTCATGTAAAATGTAATATGAATGTTGCTTTACATTATAGAGTTCTTTTATGATGTCTACTTAGAATCTACGCTAAAAGCCTAAAAAGGACAAGAATTTAAAACTAACATTCAATACATGAATAATTCATGCATAATTGAATTTTTTTAGTATGTTTACTTAATATTGTAGCATATAATTCAAAGATGTTGAAAGTAGTTCAAGTCAAAGTAGCTTATGCATAAGTGTAGTTGAAAAAAAGATGCTATGTCTTAAAACATTATGGTGTATATTAATTAACACACAAATATAAAAGAAGCCACAAAAAACCTATATGTCAAGGACATGAATTATAAATAAACAAAGCTTTAATATATTCCTATGTCACTCAAAGATAAAAAAAATCTTAAAATTAGAATGGTTGTTGCCAAAGATAATAAGACTAGAGACTCTTGAAACAAAACTAAGAACAAGAAAGACGTTGACAAGTATCAAAAAGGCTTCATTCTTGCCTCAATATATACTATCTAATTAGAAGCCATGTGGCAACATTCTATAGGACCTTTGACATTTATCCAACTTATGGGACATGTATCTAACTTGCAAGACAAGTTTCTTACATGTATGCTACATAATCAACTTTTATCACATGTTACTAACATGTGCAATGTGTAGCCAATTTGTTGGCTAATTTTTCAATCCATTAATTACCTACAAACACATAAAAATCAAATCTGCATCTATGAAGTTTTAAAGAAGTTTTTTCATAAGATATTTCTAAATCTACATACTTTTATTTTCTACCTAATTCTTCTTATTTATATAATTATGTATGTTTGTTACATTACATCCCTTCTAGAAAGGAGTTCCATAAGGAGCAGTATTTACATGTTGAAAAAATCTAAGATGTGACAAATTTTAATTGTTATATACTCCAATCTTTGTCTTTTTTGAAGATAGTTGATAGGTCCTCTTGACCACCAAAAATATTCCATACTAGAGCAAAATGACCACCTTTTAATATAATCATTGTTGAAGCTTTTATAACTTTCTTCAAATAAAATATTTGGAATACCATTAGGAATAGTTTCTACCTCCAATAATATTATAAAATATTAAAAATCTCTTTCAAGGTCATCATACCAAACACATTTTTAACTTATTATTTATTTAAGAAAGAACATGTTCTTGAAGGTCTTCATACCTATTTGTCATCATAAAGATTGTAATAATGATAATGCTTTGTTTGATAATTCAACAAATAATAACTCTTGAATTAAAATTTAATAGTTGTTGATTTTTCATCTCTTTAGGGTGACATATATACAAAACTACAAATAAATATAGATGAGAGAATGCATTCTTTATTGATTCTTCTTTCTTTTAAAACAAAAAATTGCTTGACCTTTTTATATAAATTTGATGGATTTCATCAATAAAAATCATCAACCTTCTTTGCTTCATTTGCAAGATTATTTGTTGGCTCTTATATGCATTCATTAATATCATATCTATACTAATGTATAAAATATTCTAACATATTTGAAGATTGCCTTGAATTTAAGACTTCTTTGACCTGAAACTTATGATTATTGTTCACTTCTATATGATGAAGTAGCATTTGTCTTCTTTACAATATATCCATTCACTTGTATAACTCAAGAAGAGGTATAACTCAAGAAGAGATATATGCAATATAAAATGAATCTTTATAGACTTCAATATAAGTATTCTTTAAGCAACTTGATTGATTTATTTACAAATAGAAGATGTTAAAAGTCCAGAATGATCCAATTTGTCACAAAGATAAGTAATCTTAATATTATGACAAAGTAATCATATCTTATTTCTAACATAAAATTAAGGTTTTTTCTTATTATAGATATTTATGTTGATCTTTTGTTGTTCATGAACTTCCTTTAATTGTGCCTTTATTATTATATATGACTTTAATGGAAAATTTGCCAAATTTTCTACAATAAGATTATCAACTTTTGAGAAGTTAAAAGTATCAAATTATGAATAACAATCATAATTAGTACAAAAAGATGTTTGTTAAGTAGCAAAATACATATTGTTATTATAAACAAACTTTGCTAATGAATTTTTTTTTGTCTAATCATCTAGATAGTAATTAATAATACATGTCAAATATTGCTTTAAAACTTGATTTACTTATTCTATTTGTCTATTAGTTTGACATTAAAAAATTAAAGATTATTTTATATCTACCTTTAATATCTTAAAAAAGATTTTTTAAAAATATAATATAAATTAAGATCCTTTATTTAATAGAATATTCTTTGAAAATCTATGATAGCAATAAATAATATAAATAAAAAATTTAATTATTTTTTTACTTTAGATTTATTTTATATATATTAAAAATTGTGTCATCTTAGTAAAATAATTCACTATCACAATTATAAATTTTTATGAATTCGAAATTAGAAGATATGTAATAAAATCCATATAAATAAAAATCCATGATTTTTTTGGTGTAAGTAATAATTGAAGAAGTCTATAAGAATGATGACAAGGAATTTTCGACCTAAAATAAATATCAAATGATTGTACAAAGTTTTAAATTATTTTCCATACTTGATGCTACCAAAAACCTATTAATATTATTCCAAAGTCTCATTATATTTAAAATGTCATGCAATTGAAAAATTGTGATAAGATTGAAGAGCATATAATTGTACTTCACCTTTTGAAATATATAAGTGCCATTTCAAATAGAAAAGATTGTTCTTAAATTCAAGATTAAAATTATTATGAGATTTAAAAATATTATTTTTAATATCATAAAAAAGAAGATTTGAAAACATGTTTGATTGAATTTGCTTAAAAAAAATTATATCAATAATCATTACTGATTTTATAGCCCAAAAACAAAATTACTTTGATTTCAAAAGATTTTTTTGTTTTTGATCAAAAGCTGCATTTTTTTTTTTTTTTTTTTTTTTTTTTTTTGATATAAGATAAAAATATCTAAAAAAGATATCCAATATAGCTTGTTGTTTTTGTGGTTGATAAATAATATTAAATTTAAATATTAGCAAAGACATGTCCAATGGACTTGGCAATAATTTAGAACATATACTCATATAAAATACTTGAAGTTCTTGTGATCTATCTATCTATATATATATATATATATATATATATATAGTGACTAAATTAAAAGCACCTTCCAAATAATGGCATCATTCTTGAAATGAATTTGCTATTACAATAAGCTCTTTGTTGTGGATCTTATAGCTGGTCTTAGATACCAAAATATTCTTCAAATGAAAAGCAACAAGATGAAGTTTGTCATTTGCTTCTATTTATAAAAATATTATATTCAAAATATAGTCCATGAATTTTTTTTTGTAAAAAATGCCATAAAAATTTGATGCAATATAAAATTGAATCAATAATAAAAAAAACTTTAAAGATTTAAATCTTGCTTCACCTTCTTTATTCCATTCAAGTTTGTCTTTATAAGTCAAATATGTAAATAAAATTACAATTTAAGAAAATTCTTAATAAAGATGATTAATAATTAAAAAAAATCAAAAAAATTAGGCATCTCTTTATATTTTTGGAATCTTTTGATCCATTTAAATATTTTTAGGATTTATCACAAGGCCATTATTTGAAATAATGTATTTTTACAAATCAACTTGAATTATTCAAAATACACATTATTTTATCTTGGCATAGAATCTTGCATCTTTAAGTTTTTATTAATACTTAACAAACATGAATATTATATATATTTTTTTCTTAGAATAAATTAAAGTATTATTTAAATA